TGTCCGTCTGGGAGCCTAGCTGACATCAAACGCATGGTCAGGGTCCTTTGCTGTAAATCAAGCACGGGCCGCACCCCTCTTCCCAAACTAGACACTTGTAAAAGCTCCACGAAGAAGCCCTGCACCCCTTAGACAATAAAACTGATGTCATCACTCATTGAGGAAAGGCTCGTAGATCTTTGAGGAAGAAGATCATCTGGAGTGTTTGGGTTCAAACTCCCGAGAACATGGAGAGAAATACAGAGCCTTGCTGTCACCCAAACTTGAGTAATGGGAGAGCTGTGGCTATGCAGTAAAATGCTACATTACTTTTTTTCCAGAGCTAATGAAAAAAAAGCAACTTCCATCAACATGGACATGGTTTGCGGTGACATGCAGACCACCAAACTAAACCGATGCACTAAACCAGTCAAGCTCCGAACACACACACACAACTAAATGATTAAACAAGGAAATGTCTGTTAAATTGCTGTTATGCTCCGCTTATACGGCGTGCCGTTAACAGACCCACGTCAGCACATGATATATATAGTTGTCGTCAAACATTTTTCTGAATTATGATCGCCAAAATAATCCCTTTTAACAAATTAAATAAATGTCAAGATGCTCGTAACGACTCATAATTCTTCATAAGTCTGTATTTACACTTGAACGCTTTGCAATAAACACACACCAAACGAAAGACACACAAGCTTCAAGAGTTTAGCACACAAAGCAGGTGGTCACTAGCAGCACCACACAGCTGGTCTGTGGCTTTACGACCATCGCCTCTGCTGTGGGGCCATAAATCTAGCAGTGGCTCTGAAGCTGGCAACTGCTCCGCTTTAAGACTATTGTCCCATTCCCTTCAAGCCTGTGAAGCTCTTCGCTTACGGAGGACGTCACATAAACAGATTTTAGGATTGGGTTACAGCCACTCCCACCAGTCTTTTACTCTGAGCGGCTCTGGTAGTGCCGCTACATGACAACATGCAATTTGGATTAGGCCGATGGCCGCGACACTTATCTTCCTTTAACCTGTACTTAAATGTAGCTTTTGTTAAGAAATGTTAGTTATCAACATTTCAATTTAGCCAAGGCAACAGTTGAAGTTTTTTAAGCTTATGTTTTTCATCATATATTTATATCTCAAACATGACAACTCTCAGAATACTTTTAGAGTGTTATTGAATATGGCAATGTTAATTTGGTGTTGGCAGACCAGATCTGTTACACTGCTTCTGCAGATCTAGGCAGGTGGAGCTGGGGGAGGTGGAGGGTTTTTAGAGAAACTCTGATAACTCGCTGCAGGACTATATATATGTATATTAGGGGTGTAATGGTGTAACTGACGGTTCGGTACATACCTCAGTCTTGAAATCATGGTTCAGTTCGATACAGCAGGGGGGAGAAAACTAAACATAAACTTGCTTTTTTTATTACAACACTGTGGTATACTAAACAAATTGTGTCTCTGTCTTTAATGAATTCAATTGTAATTAATATTATTATTATTTCTTAAGGATAAAAAAATCTATATAGGAAGAACAGAGCCCAAATTATTAGCCTAAATTCAATTGCTATTTATTTTTATTTAATAATCAACACTCAAATAACAAATGGTATGCAAACATGTAAACTACACACAAGGCAGTTTTGCATGAACCTCTAAATCGAATTATAAAATTGTTGAAATATTATTCAACATATATTATAGTATTAAAACATTATTACTGCATTTTTTGTTTGCATTTCAAGATAAAAATGGACAGAAATTGAAAGACAAGGTTTTTTATCGAAAGTAACAAAAAGCGGAGCTTTTCGCAATTGTAGGTTATTAAAGGAGTAGTTCACTTTTGAAAACTTTTGCTGATAATTTACTGACCCCTAGCCTGGTTAAAACTAGACCATTCTCAGTTGTAACTGAGTTATGGTCTGGCAAAGCGTCATAGACAAATCATTTCCAGAGGGGCGTCACCAACGGACGTCGCGGATAGACCTAAACCCAATCAGAGCGATGAAGGAGATGGCGTATGCAGAGCGGTGGAGAAACATCTCCGAGTGTTGTTCTTTGCTCGGTTTTTAACAAAAAGGAAACGTTCAAATCGCTTAAAACAGACGCGATAGCTGATTCGAACGAGTGATGTTCGACGGCGGCATCCATCTTTGTAATGTAGGCTACAAAATCTGCTTCAAAATCGTTGTCATCGTGTAAAGCTCGCCCCAACGTTTCTGATTGGTGCCTCGATTTCGACGGATTGGAAATGGGCTTGAATGAGCTCTTTGCCAGACTAACTTTCAGAGCAAATCTAAATTTGCCGGAAGTTGTCTGGGTTTTCCCAGGGTAACTCACCCCCATGTCATCCAAGATGCCTATGTCTTTCTTTCCTCAGTCGAAAAGAAATTACGGTTTTTAAAGAAAACATTCCAGGATTTTTCTCCATATAATGGACTTAAATGGGAACCATACGGTCCAAGGTCCAAAATACAGTTAATAACAGTTTCAGATGCAGCTTAAAATGTCTTTAAACGACACCAGACGATGAATAAGGGTCTTATCATGCGAAACGATCGCTCATTTAAAAAATAAATAACAACGTTTAAGTTTTATAAGCTCACATGCCCACCTTGCTCTGTTCTGTGTGACTCTCCTGTTCGAACTCGTTCATCAAAATGAACAAATCTTTTTTCGAGTCATTTGATTCATTTAACGACCGAAATGAACGAATTGACTCGGAAAAAGATTTGTTCATTTTGATGAACGAGTTCGAACAGGAGAGTTACACAGAACAGAGAAAGGCGAGCATGTGAGCTTATAAAACTTAAACGTTGTTATTTTTTTTTTTAAATGAGCGATCGTTTCGCTTGATAAGACCCTTATTCATCGTCTGGTGTCATTTAAAACCATTTGAACAGTTTGCAGTTTGCACTGAAACTGTCTTTTGGACCTTGAACCGTTTGGCTACCATTGAAGTCCATTATATGGAGAAAAATCCTGGAATGTTTTCATCAAAAACCTTAATTGCTTTTCGACTGAAAAAAGAAAGACATGGACATCTTGGATGACATGGGGGTGAGTAAATTATCAGCAAAAGTTTTTTTAAAAGTGAACTAATCCTTTAATAGTGGTTATAATGCTGTATTCGTCGTGTACACATAAGACGAAAATTTCACGGGATGAATGCGTGTACCGTTACATCCCTAATTACTATTTAATCAAATGTCAGGGAAGAAAAATTAGTTTTGTGACATAAGGTAAAGTGAGGTCAATCTCAACAATGGGCCAATGGACCGTGGGTGGTGTATCATGGTTTTTCGGTTTGGTTTAAATATTGTTACACCCCTAATATACATTATATATTACATATGACATGCACACAGAAAACATGAAGTAATCAATCTATTCCTAAAATAAAAAAGTACATGCTTTTGAGTTAAAATTAGGGTCTAAAACTGGTTGAAACCTATAACAACTAAATGGCATTTGTATAATATAAGTGAAGTAAATTCCTTCACTATAACATTTCTGAAAAACTACCATATTTACTATACTTTACTATTTAACAACTGTGGTAAAACCCATGGAAATGTTTGATAAGAAATGTATTAAAGTAGGGAAATCAGTTATTTGTAGGATATGAAGCAAAATGGGAAACTTACAGGATATAGAATTAACAAGAGATGCACTGACAGCAAAAAATGAAGTAAATTATCCATCAAACTGTCCATTTAGTAAATCGGTGTCTTAATCATTATTCACTAATGTTTGTTACAGGCTTAGAAAAGGGTCTAGAAAAAAAAAGAAGAAAAAAAAGCAAAGGCAATTACAACTTCCTCTAGCAAAACGCTCCTTTACTGGCTTTCTAAAGACAGAAATAGACTGTGTGAATGTTAGTGGTAACGTAGATCAGAACAGGGCCACCAGGGCCTTACAGACCTGGTGACCCAAAGAAAGCAGCACCTGGTATTCGTCAGTTGTCATAAACACTGAAGTTTCTTTCCTTTCCTCTTTTTTAAAGAGCGAGTTTAAAGGAAAACTCTTAGCTATTCATGGTGTCCTTTCCCCATTCTCCTCGGGTGTCATAAAACCATAAATCTCATCTCAGCACTCGCCTTCTAGCCAATAAAACAGCCCCCGTTTTATGAGCTGCTCTCTTGCTGAAGGTAAATGAGCCTTGCCACTGGTGACACTGCCGAAGCTTAAAACATTCTAACATAGATCTACAAGAACTACTTCATTTTTCCAGTCCAGGAAAAGTGACGAATGAAATCAAGACTAAATTCACTGACTAGGACATTGCCAGTTGAGCAGAACAATTTTGCAACCTTGCCCCTCCTCGTGTCTGGCAGCGATTTAATCTGAAACATGCAATCCTCAATAAATTGATACTACATCAGCAACCTAAATAAGCAGATTTTGAACAACTACCAGATTTCCTTTCCTGAAAAGCCGAGAGGTCTAGCAAAGGACGGCACCCAAACCAGACAAATGGTCCCTCAGCGCCTGGACACCCACCAAGTTTATTAGATCCCCTCTTGCACCAGACCTCCATTATCTCAAACCTCTTTGTTTGATGTTTACAGAGAACCCCAAATCCCAGAAAAAGTCTCCGCTAATAGTCAACTACATTGTTCGAACGCTAGATCTTAGAGCCTAGTCTTTGGTATGAGCTTTATTGTACTTTCCCATCAAATTGGTCCCACAGATTTCAGTCCTTGTACAATAAAATGGCCTTATGCATTCAGCTAGAAATGCACAACATCATAATTATTTTCAATAAATAGCCGATATTACTCATGTAAATAGTACCAATATATTGTGCATTCCTGCATTTAACAATTATTACAAAGCCCTCAATGTGTCGTTAGCGAACTGTATTTCCATAAAGGTCATTATTAAGCTCACCAAATGTTTGTAGAAACTACAAAAGCCATTTGAGGGACAACTGACCAACTAGGGAAAATGAGGGACTCATTTTCATTTTGTTATGTTCAAGTATTATGATTGGACATTCACTTACGTCTGATCTTGTGAACATGTTGTCGTCCATGTCCGAGTCATGCGGGTCCAACACATCCTGGAAGGGCGGTAACGCTGGTGGTTTTCTCTTCTCTGAAAGTTCACTGTTTTGTAACCTACTATGCCGGATTTGCGGCTTGTCTTTCAAAACTTTTTTATCCGAATGGTGGTGCTGTAGCAAAGTGGGACACGCTTGCTGCTTTTGCGAGCTCTCGGAAAAACTGCTTTTCTGTTTTTTGGTAACATGGCCTTCAGTGTCCAAAACAGGCCGCCGTTTACTTTGTCCCAAGCTTGAGAAGCTAATCTCAGATGACCGCGGCTCCTTGGACGTGGTCTTGGGCTCCTTAAATCCCATTTGGGGAACGGTGCGATCTTCCTGAATCGGTTGATTCTCTTTGGGTTTTTTGGATTCTTTAGAGAGTTTTCCAGAGTCCTTGCTGAAATCTCTGAAGGCACTTTTGGACTCCTTTGAGTCTTTGGAAGGCTTGTCCTTATACGGTTTGTGGAGCTTGAGAGAGCTGCTGCTAATATTGTTTGTGGTTGTAAGAGCACTGGTGCTTTTGGACCCGTCCTATAATGAGAAATGACAATATTAGGAAAGATATAGCCAATTACTTTGAAGTCTAAGATTAATTAATTAGTTAAGCATTGTATCCAAAGGGACAACCATTAAAAAACCACTACTAAAACTACTATGGTGATAACATTTTACGGTGATGGTATAATAGTATTTTAATATACACTACGGTTCAAAAGTTTGGAGTCAGAGCGATTTTTACGACTTCTATTCAGCAAGTAAACATTGAATTGATCAAAAGAGACAAATCTTTTGCAACATAATAAATGTCTTTACTATTTCAAATGAAAGCTTCTCTTATGAACTTTCTGCTAATAAAACCTGTTCTTTTGAAAATGATTCTGTTTGCATCATTGAATCATTATTTACTTGTATATCCCTATAAAGTGGCTTTGGAACCATCTGTATTGTATAAAGCACTGTATGCTGTAAATTTAGGTGACTTGACCTTCTATTTATTAACAAATCCTGAAAAAAAAACATTAAGCAGCACAACCGTTTTCAATATTGATAATAAACAGCAATGTAGTAAGGCTGCAAAAAAATCCAGCGTTGCATCACAGGAATAAATTACGTTTTAAAATAAATTTAAATAGAAAACAGATATTTTAAATTGTAACAATATTTCACAATATTAGAGCTTTTACTGTATTTTTGTCAAATAAATGCAGCCTTGTTGAGCAAAAACATTAAAACGTCTAACCGACCACAAACTTTGAACAGTAGTGCAAAATTTCTTATTAATGTGCCATGGTATTTACATGGTAAAAAAAACAATTGTACTTTTTGTTAGTGAAATGAAGAACAATACATTAACAACGGCTATAGATATTCAAATACTGAACTTTCCAACCATTAAAAATCGACAAATAATGTGTGTGCTCAAGCAAACAATCAAACCGATATGTGATGTGAAACATTTCCATAAACAATTGTTCAGCATGATCCGGAAAATAATACCACTGGGGGAAAGGCAAACTCAGAGCTATCTGGGAGGCAACCTGGGGACGAAACAACAAGCCTTTCGTTGACTTTAATGACACAGGGTTATCCTATCTTCAAGCTAACTAGCTCCTGTCAATAAGTCATTGATGCAGTTAAGTCGTTAAGCAGTCTAGACAGAAAGGGAGTTCAACCCTGCCTAAACATCTTTTATTTTGTTATATCTGCTACAGCTTTTACGAGAAATGGACAAAACCTTTTCCTCCCATTTGAAACGGTGTTGCAAACACATTGAAACTGGCTTCAAAACGACGTAAGTCCTTTAAAATGGTCTAGAAGACAGCAATGTTCATGTCAAAAGTATTTAGTTATAATGGACATGCTACAGTACATTTTGCCAGCAAACAAAGAGGTAGAAACCTCTATTCTCTATATTTAAAATCTGAATCATGATAATGAAAATAACTATGATCATAATTCTTAGTGCTATTAGAGCTTAGTGCCAAAACGCTTGCAATTTGTCTCCAAGAAAACTCTAGGTTTGCATAATGGTTGACTTTTCAGGCAACCATTATGGTTGGCGATCAATCAACCTTCAAAAAAAATCTTCAACCATAACATCGAATTAAGTGGAGGAAGTGGAGAAGGACAACAAAGCGCAGATTGCCGTTTTTGTTTTTGCTGAAGTGACCGGTGTAGTAGTGCAGGGGAGGTTGGCTGCGAACGACCCCTGATCTGTCAGTAATCCATCACACGCAAGGGCCTGTTTGGATTGGGAACTGTTTCCATGTGCTCCGGGGACTCTTGTAACTTCACTGTAAGAGCTAGCGTACAATACAAGATGCTTAGCGGCTAAGTGGTATTGCACAGGAGACTAAAAATAAACCTAAATCAAAGAAACATGGCGGTATAGTCAAGCAAGATTTACTAGCATTACGGCTAATGTGGTTTAATAGATGCGAAGATAAAAGGCAGCAGCATCTAAGGTTTTCCATTAGTTTTCCTTCATTAAAATGCGATTCACTTCACTGTGTCGGATAACTGTAAACGTGGTGTAGATAAGAATCGGTTACACTTTTTTTTAAGGTATCTGTGTTACAGTGTAATCATATATGCAAGTACTGAGTGATATTAATTAACTACATGTACTACATGTAACAAGGACACTGTAAAATAAAGTATTACCTAAGAAAGTTTTTCGCTATTGCAACGGGACACCTGGCAAGTTCGTTTACGTCATCGGAATGTTAGCATGTGCTTTCTCAGCAGCCAAGAAATGCTTGACTTAAGCCAAGTTTCACATCTCTAAAATCCTTGGATTTAAATTGCCCCTAACGTCTTTCAACTTGCCAAATATGCAGGATTAGGCAGGATTCCTTGGAGAAACTGGGAGTCATGCGAAGTGTTCTCAAAAGTTCAGACGCTCAAACTTGGAGATCCACACTCACCTTTGACCCTGGGAAAGACTTGCTCTTCTTCACATCAGAGAAGGTCAATGTTAATGAGCTGCTGGGTAATGTGGGCAGCTTTAGATGCTGCCCGAACAGAGAAGTGGAGCCCTCCTGCATTACCATTACCTAAGAGATGAAAGAAAGAAATACTTTTATTCAGCAAGGATGAATCAGTAGTGATCAAAAGTGACAGTAAAAAATTGCTGTTTCAATAGATATCTACAAAAGATTTCTAATGCTGTTCTTTTGAGCTTTCTACTCAACAAAGAATTCGGAAGAATAATGCATCACGGTTTCCACGAAAAAGATTAAGACGCACAAATGTTTTCAACATTGATCAGCATAATAGAACGATTTCTGAAGGATCATGAGACACTGAAGACTGGAGTAATGATGCTGAAAATTCAGCATTTCAAAATATATTAAAAAAGAAAGTAGTTATTGTAGTGATATTTACAATATGGAATTGTAATACTTTCGAATGTTAGTGTATGCTACAATCAGTTATTTGTGTTTTACTGACATGAGCTACTGTGTTTCATTGTACACAAAAAGCCTGTTTTTCCACACAAAGCTAGGAAAAGGTTACTGTATTTTGAAGATTACATAAAAAAATGAAACCGGTAAACTTCAAAATGAGAAAATACTGTTGAACTTCTGTTAAACTAGGGCTGAGTGGAAAATTGAGTTTGTAGAATATATTGATTTATTTGTTATAAATTATATAGGATAAGGCAGTACCATTTATTTCGATATACAGTTTGATATTACGAGCTCATCTGAAAAATAGCGGAGGACACAGAATGAGCTGCTGCGAGGAAAATGCATAATCCAATTTATACTAAACATGAGACAAGCTTTAACTCGTAAGATACAATTAATGTGTGTTGTTTAAAGCAGCTTGATCCGCTCTGTGCTGTCGTGTCTCTGGACCGGAGCTGCGGCGGTTCGTGTGACACTAACGTGAAACCAGACTTCAGTCGCCCCAATGGAAAGCATATTTACACTGAATCGTTCCCTATCCCCTATAGTGCACTACAGTATGTGCCATTCACTATATAGAAAATGGTAATAGTGTGAACGAGTGACCGATTTTAGCTGCAGCTTCAGCGGCTATTTATACTGTTGGGGGCGGAGCTTCAGAATCTAGAGAGCATTTGATTGGACAGAAAATCTGATGAGAAGCTGAAGTGCAGAGTGATATCATCAAAATCATTGATCCGTATTGGTCGGAAGTGAGAAACTGAGTTTTGAACACTTATATCTTCTAAATGCCATTTTTGTCATTGTTTTGGAGCACACTAGCGTATAGATAATAGTAAGACTAAAATATTAATACTAAAAGCCAAACAAATTCAATCTTGATTTCATGGGGAAACGCTTTTTAACCCTTTTTTTTTTGTTGGAAATAGCCTTTATGGTTACATTCACTATATATCCGTTTTCATAGCCTTCAATATTTTTGTTGTACAACATTGGGCAGGATGGGGAAAAAAAACATTTTTACAAAATAAAAACAAAAAAGGGCTTTTTTAAAAACCAAAATAGAGAAAAAAATTAGAAAATATCAAGATATATATATTGTGTATTGCCATTCAGCCAAAAAAAAATTTGAGATATGATTTTGAACACATTGAAACATAAAAAAAAAAATGGAGTATGTCCTTACTTTAGAGTCCTCTGAAGATCTTTTGTGAGGATCCCGTTGCTGTAAAGGACAAAGTACAGATATTACAGTCGGGAAAAAAATGGACTATGAATCAACACAAACCACCACAGACAAACAAACACTCCCGAACACACATTTTGGCAGGAAGCACTCTGCTTACTCCTAGCCTGATGTAATGACGAAATGCCTTTCAACAGCCAAAACAATCAGGTAAATTGGAAAGGACCTTTCTCAGTCACCATCTTGCTAAATTGATATTGCTCTCTTAATTAAAACAACTTCCCGCGCAACTGCCGTTTGCCAATAAACTCTTTCGATTCCTGCCGTGCTTCATCTGCAACCCAGACAAGCACCAGAGGAGATGTTGTCATACCCCCAGCCGTAAAACATTTGAATTACTGGAATGAGGCAAGAGAAGGCGAACTAAAACTACAAAGAGGGCCCTCTCAAGAATCATTTCTTTAAATATGTCTTAAGGGTATAAGCGTCCCAGTACATGGCTAATCCACACTAATGTGCTTTCAAATGCGGGTGGAACTTCAAAATGTGTCCAAGATCAACAAAACGAATCAATTTAAGCCAGTTGATTCATAAAAAGCATGTGGATCCCTCTGGAAGGGGCCCAAAGATAGCTCAAGTTTCCTGTAGTGATAGATGGTCGTGTCACGACTAGCCCAATCAAATCTTGTAAAGTTACTTATTGTCTTGGTTGATGGGAACAGTAATTCCATTAGGACCGATTGCCTGACATTGGCCTTCATCTCTGGAAGACTGTTTTGCTAGCGCTAGCACAGACAAGCAGCAAGGTATACCCTTGCATTTTTCACCTGTGAACAGAGTGCACGTATTTTAAAACCACATGTTGGCTAACTAGTCAATTCCTCTGCAATGAACACCTGATTTACCAGCACCCAAACTCTGGAATAGTCTTTCTAGCCTTGTTCGGGAAGCAGACACACTCTTGTCAGTTTAAATTTAGACTAAAAACACAACTGGCATACACATAACCTTGCATACACATAACACATTATCAATTTCTATTATTCAAATCAGTTAAATGATTGTTAGGCTGCATAAATCAGAACCAGGAACACTTCTTATAACAGTCTGGTTTCTCCCAAAGTTTCTTTTCTCTACTCCGTCCCCTGATGGAGTTTGGGTTCCTTGCCACTGTCGCCTCTGGCTTGCTTAGTTGGGGACACTTAATATTCAACAACAATATTATTGATCTGACTGTACTGGAGCTGCTGTTAGGGTTGCCACCTTCAATACAAAAAAATAAGGGACGCCTGCCGGCGGCCGCAGCGGGGGCCAAAGCCCTCGGGGCCACAATGACCACAGGCCCGACGGTATGCCAATGGTATCATAACTCAAAACATATTTTTCAGGAAAGTAATAAGATCATACCAATGGACATTATAATAAGCTATCTGCTATTGAAATCATTGTGAATAAATCACTCTCTATCACAAACAACGTTAACAAAGTGTGACAATGAGATTACAAAAAAAATGGCCTTTCGTCGGAGTTGTATGTGAGATGTTAACTTATTAACTTATTAAATTAACAGATCCATAACTTATTCACTATAAATTAAACAAATGTGTTGATACTCAAACAAATACTAAATTTGATTGGAAAAAACTATGACTTTAGCAAAGGATCTTGAACATCAAAAACATCAGTAGACCAGTAGTACTGTGCAGTATTGGACTATAGGCGTTAAGTGTACTTGTCACTCCGTGCAGCACTGAGTAGCTGTTTCTTTCAAACATGTAACACCATCCAAACAGTGATACCACACATAAATAACCTATAATCTACAAACATTTCTAAATTTAATTATAACACTATTTTTATTATTGGTAAGAAAATCTATTTATGTATTTATTTATTTATGTATTCAGACCTATTGACCTATTCTCTAGATTTGTTAAGCATAAGTCATTTTCTTCACACATGCACATTTTTATTATTAAATATCTCTCTCTCTTATTTAAAAAATGCATGTGTCTGACTACCTTAACTATAATAAACAAATCATACCATAATGTATGGATATAATTCATTTACATTGAAACATTATTTCTTAGCAAATGGGCATAGGGTATGGAGCATATGAAAACGTAATCAATCAGAACATTATTGAGCTGATTAAAAAACTGTCATTACACTATGACTATCTGCTTCGGGAGATCCTTAACGTATGAAGAACTGTGAGACGGTGCTTTGATTTCTCTAAGCTAGCATTGCTATCAACTCTCTGCCAAAAGACCCGCCCTCCTCTGACTCTGATTGGCCCTGAACCTGATGTTATTAAACAAACCAATCAAACCAACAATGGCAGCGAGTATTACCCAATCAAGGGTAGAATAGGACGAGTCTTCACAGAATGCGGGTGTTATGATTTGCATGTGATGATGCATTTAAGACAACTCGGAAATACGGGACAAACCGCGTCCCGTATTGATTCAAAACGGGACGCGCTGTTTATTTCACAAATACGGGACGATTCCGTATTTTAAGGGAGGGGTGGCAACCCTAGCTGCTGTATGAGAACTGAACTGAGCTGGGCGATGACATGTTTTTTTGCAGAACTGCCTTATAGATGAAATGAACTAATTTAATAATTGATGATCTTTACAAAGTATAAATGTATAAATAAAGGTGACTAGACCTTTCGAGATTTAAAAGATTCCAACTAATGAACTCAGTGCGAACGGTTACAAAATACAAATATTTTCTCAACCATCTTTGAGACGTACATTAGCTCAGGAACTGATCATGGAAATCACATGACTCCAATAATTATTTTTTTAAATTTTTTTTAAGACCCGCCCATCTTGTTCCCAGAGGTGAGTAACGTACCCCTCCGGCCTTGAGCAGCTTCTTGCGAAACTCTTCAGTAGGGTTGTTGAACGTGAGCTTTTCACACCGGAGATGATTGACAGGTGGGTGGCCCTCCAAGTGCAGGAACAGATCGTAGTCAAAGCGCACTTTTTTTGGTTCTTCCTGGTGAAAAGTGACAAAAACATTACCCAATGTACATAGTCACAATGCTGTCGGAATTGGTTTAAATTTATGTAACCGATCAAATGCACTTGTTTATAATGGATCATAATTCACAAATTACAGGTTTGCTCAAAAGACAGTACCTTATTTTTAAAGTAAACTTCAATAGGCAAGATAAATCCGGCGTATCCAGACTCTTCAACTTTATATGGTGGATCCTTGCACACTGCAAGAGAAAGAAAGAGACTTTTAGTTAAATTTTAGCATGCAAATCACCAATACGTTAAGCAATAAGTGACAAATAGGTGTGCTGTATTATGAATATAACCATGGCATTGGGTACAACACCATGCTTGCAACCCCTTTAGTCGTAATATAGCTTGAGTGCATTTTGTAAAGTGGGTATGTACACAAATTGTATTAAGAAGACAAGTTTAATTAAGAAAATACATTAAAATAAAAGAATGAAATTTACTTCATAAAAGGATCATAAAACCCAATTACACTTTTTATTTGTTATGTTAACAGTTGGTTGCACATCAATGAAAACAACAACAATAGCACTCATTATGTTTATTATAAAGGGAAGGCGTTTTTTTTCATGTTTCGGGGCCATTTCATTCTTCCGGTTTAAAAAGAGCCAACGTCATTAAAAGTGAGGTATATGCGTTAATTCGGAGTGGTGATTGGCTCCCGTGGCTGGAGAGTACTTTCCATGTCATCAGTTTCTGAGCTTTTCTCCACATTACTCATGAGAATAAACTCTTCTAATCCAATCACTGCGCTGTATTACGCATGAGATCTCATTACAGCAGAGAATTCAAATGTGACGAGACCTCTGCCTGTTCAGCTTTGTGTTCGGACACGTGTCGCATGTTTTCCAAGTACAGTAAAGCAAAAATGTTGTTTGCATTTTCCCCATGAGGCGGTCAGAGCAGTCAAATTTTTCAATTTTTCAACACATGAAATATTTGACTAACAATACTTAAGTACCGACATGAGAGCTGTTTCTAAACAGAACACTGCGATGAGTTTAACACTCGCAGCGCGGATCACAGTTCATATCTGGACCGGAGCAAGCGTTTTTCAAGTTATGGAGTATATTTCACATACTCTAGTGCTCGAAACATGAACCAGCAACGTGTATGTGCACATATTTCATTCTTGTCTTCTTCAAATTAAATATATATAATGCAGCAGCATCTGATTATGAACACAATGGCACAAATTATTCTGATACACAATGATGTAGACCAGAAATTCAAAGAAGAACAGACAAAATTCTTTCCTTGTTAAACTGATGATGTAATTTGTCCAGACATTGTAGTGCTCGTAAATGTAATGAATATATCATTAGACATTTTAAATGTTCTTCCTCATTTTCCATATAGATCAGTTGCTCTAATACGGATTAGTATTCTCTAATGATGAGAATTTTGTGCGTTTGTTGTTATAGTTATATTTTTGAAATCCATCAACTGGTGCCCCCTTGTTTTTTCTGCTCATATTTTTATATATTCTTTGTCTGTATGAGTGTGGTGTAGTAGGTCTGTGTTTTATTGGTTGTTGTCTCCCCTCTTCCACCCTAAACACTCGCTTTACACGCACATTTCTTGAGACAAATCTGAGGTGTGAAAGCGATGGGAGGTTACATACTCAAATCAAGCATTGTTATTATTCAAGCAACATTATATAAGTCAAATAGGCATAATAGGCATGCGTTTCCTGCTGGCAATATGAGGTTATATCCCTCATAACCTGAATGAGCATCACTGGAGGAACAGTATCATATATATTCTTATATTGTTTATTACACGTACACACACACAAAGTATTTTTACAGAAGTCTCTTGAGCCCATCAAGGCTGCATTTATTTGATCTGAAATACAGTAAAAACTGTAATATTGTTGCAATTTGAGCTGCCATTAATCCAGTCTTCAATGTCACATGATCCCTCAGAAATAAAATATATAGCCCATACATAAATCAACTTTAAACAAATTGTCTTTATACATAATGAACCCTTTGTGAGCATTAAACTTCATTGCCAAGTAAAAATAGGCCTATATGGTGAAAAGTTGCAATAAACTCCACATCGCCACCATGTCTCAGGGAGGCGTTCCAAAAAGGTTCATTGCCTCCCGAGGGAACTTATTAGTGTTTAGACGTGCAGTTTAAATGACCTGGAACGTGTGTGACATCTTCCCTGATTAACTGCATTATTTATGTGTCTTTATGGCCAACTCCATTGTGCAACATAAAAACAATGCGCTTCAATCTTGTTATTTTAAATTTATGGCCTTCATCGAGAGACACTACTTATAAAAATAAACTGCTCCAAAGCACATTTAGTTTTGCTTACACAAATCATTCATCATCTCAAAACACCAAACCTCTGCAGTGAATACATTTTCTGTCAACTCTTGTTTTACACACACACACACACTTGAAGGTACAAAAGAAAAAAACATCAGGCTTGGTCCCAATTAGACATTTCAGGATAAACACCCAGTTTAGGTCAGGTGACGTCCCATGGGAACACTTGTTTGTCTCGTTCTCCAAATCCCAAAAGAGCTTTTAACAGCATCGCCAATTAGTCAACATGAACTGTTGAGCGTTAATGGATACAAGGACACCTGCAGACAACGTGAACTAAAAAGAGGAACTAGTTCTTTCCTTGCGCCTTTTAATATAATGAACTGCACTCAATATTATGTCAAATTAAGCCATTATTAAAATAAACTGCCTCACAAATCAGTTTTTGTTTGAGAATTAACCTCAAACTCTCAAATGTTGCTGATTTGCTTCTCAAAAAAATGCTGAAAATAGTTTCCGCAATTTTAGGCAGCAAAGATATGTTTTTATTTGGTTAAAAAAAGATGAATGCTACTGCAGATACTGACTTAAAACGTAGCCTTGAAGTGTTTTTCAATGAACCGACACAGAACTCCTTCAAACAGGCGGTGGAAAAACTCAAGATGCTCTCGAAGGAAACTGACAAAGCTCAACATCAATCGGCATGCTAAGGTTGTAATAGCAACTGCGCCCCTTCCCCCCTCAGGCTATGTGGTGACTTGAACGGCTAGACGATGACTGACCTCGAGCCTAAGGTCGCCGGATCCCAAAACAGCATCCGCTAAACAAATATTACAGAGATTTATTGCCGTGTCGGGTCGCGTTTAGTTATCGTCCCTTGAAAGGGTCTGTTTAGTATGGCGCATTCATTCGGGCCCATGAAGCCATTGGCAGTGAGAAGAGTGAGAAAGCTATTATAGGGTATTTTGTTTGTAAGATGCTTTCTCTCCTGTGTGGGATTTCTTAGCTATTCAAAACACTTTAACAAGCATAACTCTCCAAACTCAAGAGGTATATGCTCTTGCTGGAGGGTTCTGTTTTTTGTTTGTTGCAGTTCTTCAGACAGGCACACTTACAGTATTTTGGAGATTTAGCATGTAACTCTTTCTTAGGACAAGTCAAGTATGGCAAGCCGTTTTAACTTTTATTCATTTCCAGGATATGAATTGTTGATATCAACAATTACATTTTTGATATCAACAATTACATTTTTTGATATGAACAATTACATTTTTGATATCAACAATTGAATTATTGATATCAAAAATGTAATTCTTGATATCAACAATTGTATTTTCACTAGTGAAATGTCACCATAGACTGCCATTCAAAATCAATTGTTGATATCAAGAATTGATTTCTTACTAGTAGAAATATAATTTTTGATATCAATAATTACATTGTTACTAGTAAAAATGCGAATTCCTGATATCAATAATTAAATTATCACTAGTCTAAATGTCTATTCTTGATATCAACAACTGAATTGCTACTAGTAAAAAAAATTATTATTTTTGATATCTGAAAATGTATTTCTGATATCAATATTATTTCAGATATCTAAAATGGCTTTCTTACTAGTAACAATCACATTCATGATATCAGAAATTAACATTGTCACTAGTGAAAATTGAATTATTGATATCAAAAATGAACATTGTTACTAGTAGCAATTCAATTGTTGATATCAAGAATAGACATTTCAACTAGTGACAATTTAATTCTTGATATCAAAAATAAAGGTTTTTACTGTAAGAATTGTATTTCTGATATGTGAAATTGGAATTTCAACTAGTAAGAAATCAATTCTTGATATCAAGAATTGATTTTGAATGGCAGCCTATGGTGACATTTCACTAGTGAAAATACAATTACAGATCAAGAATTATAGTTTTTACTAGTTGAAATTCAATTGTTGATATCAAGAATTATCATTTTAACTAGTGAAAATGTAAATGTTGATGTCAAGAATTAGCATTGTTACTAGTGAAAATGTAATTCCTGATATCAATAATTAGGGGCCAAGCACCGAAGCAATTGGTCTGCCACTCCCACCCATGAGGGCATCTGTTGCCGCTTCTTGCGCTTGGCCCCGGTAATGGCTGCTTGCAGCTATATTTTGCCAATGTTACTAGTAGAAATATTATTCCTGATATCAATAATTATAATTTTAACTAGTGAAAATTGAATTGTTGATATCAAGTATTCATATCCTGGAAATGAATAAAAGTTAATACGGCTTGCCATAGTCAAGTGCATCATTTTGTATTCATTTAGCATCACCTCTGAAAGTCGATGTTGTGCTTCCCAAACACACTGCCCTATTGTGTGGTAGGCCAAAACCTGGACATCAGTTTGCATTTTAGCACATCCGTGTCCATCGTCCTGAAGTCAATGGTTTTTTTTGAATGGGCTTTTGGTTAAATGCTTGAAATAAGGTCTGTGCTGAACACAAGCTCAAGATTAGGGGTGGGCGATATGACCAAATTCTTATATCACGATATGAGCAATTTTATTAAAGGCCATGGAAAGTTGAAAAGACATGCATTGTGCTGTATTTCAAAAATGTAGTAATTTTACTCATTTAATTATAATAATTGTGCATGTAGCTTTAATGACAAAACTAAATATTTGTACTTGAAAACTTTATTTACAATAAAGTTCAACTTGTTAATATTAATGTAATGCATTAGGTATCGGGAAATAACAATGAACAACAAGTGATCAGCTAAATGCTGTAAAAAGGATCACCAATGTTTTAATTAGATAAGCAGTAACAGGCAAGACACTGACATTTTACTTTATCATCACTTTAGTTTCATTACTTCATTAAGCGGTGGGAGGTTACATAGTCAATTCCAACGGCATCG